TCGAACCCGCCACCTTAGGTGTACGTGGCTGGCGCCTTAGCCGGTTGAGCTATAGGCGCCGAGCCGTCATCAGTAATTTCTTTCTCACATCCTATTTCTAAACAGAAGTACCACTGCAACAAAGTGGCATTTCATCAATTGTCCCTCATCTAAGAGTAATAAATGACTGACTCAACAAATATTTATTGACTATCTACTATGTGTCAGACATTGTGTTAGGTACTAAAAATTTTGCAGTTAAAAAATGATAAAAGGGCTCCTGCTTTTGTGGAAAAACAGTGGAAGAGGGGCAAATAAACAGGCAAGGATAATAATAGGTTCTAAGTGCTATGTTAGGGGAAATATAGGGGACTAGAGGAGGACATAGGCAAGGTATTTAGTGCAGAAGATATGGGAAGCTTCGTAGAGGAAGCGAAACTGAAACAAAACCCTGCCTAATAAGTAGAAATTTGCCAAAAAGAGGGGGTGTTGGGAGGACAGAATTCCATCCAGGCTTCCAAGAGGCATCCGTCACCTGGAGGTGAGGGTTTTGATACTCTCTGTCTGCAAAATCAATACCTACTCCTCAATGGAGACAGAAGTATCAAGCTGATGCTGAAGGAGGCTTTTTAGCTGCCTCTGCCCTTCTGTTTCCAGCTCTTCCAGGACATGTTCATCACTCTTCACACAGCTGCTTACCCTGGAGTGAATATACACAGAAAGTAGAAGAGACAGTGAGTCTCAAAATATATTTCTTATCATCTACCATTAGTGACCCCATTTGTTTAAAAACATTTCTCCAAATAGTCATTGCCCTTTATCATTCATTCCACAAACATTTACTATTAAATACCTACTTACACATAAGGCACTGTGCTAGGTACTCATGGAAGTCAAAAATATTCAAGACATAGTCCTCATCCTCAAAAAGCTGGCAGTCTATTCAAAGAGAAGAAATATATGTGTATATATGTTGTGTGTATGTGCCTGGGGAGGGGAGAGAGAAGGGGAAAGGGGAGAGAAGGGGAAAGGGGAAGAGGAGGGAGGAGAGAGGGAGAGAGGCGGAGAGAGGGAGAGGGAAGGAAGAAGGGAGAGAGAGAGAACATTAAATGAATAAAGACACAGAGAAGCATATGCCAAATTAGTAGGAATTCACAGAAGAAAGAAATAATTGGGAGCTGGGGTGGGAAAGGAAGATTTCAAAAGGATTGGGTGTGATGAAGAAAAGGAAAACAGGGAGAGAGAGTATGAAGAGACAGAAATATTTACTGGGAGGTAATAACAAGTTTCATTTGACTGCCATTCACTTATGGGCATACTAGGAGATGATTTTGGAGGGGTGAATTAGATTCAGACTGTGAATGGCCTTAAATACAGCAGCTAAGAGGGCTGGACCTTAACCACCTTTATCAAGCAGTTAAGTGACACAGTGCAAGTGATGGTTGAGGAAGATGAAATGTGGTTATAATAGGCCATATTGATTCAAAGGGAAGAAACCAGTAGAACTAGTTAGGAAACTGTTGAAGGTGATGAAGGTCCAGATTGGGGTGGTAATAGTGGAAACAAAAAGGAAGGATTAGATGGGAGAGGCCTTTTGAAGGTAGGGGTAAGGAAGTCAGTGAAAAACCCCAAATTTCAAGCTGTGTAACTAAGAGAGCAATAGTACCAAAGAAGGAAGGAAAAAGCTTCAGATGGAATAAATGTTTTGGGAAAGGTAAGTCAATATTGTTTTAGCCATGTTAAGTCAAGGACCTTTTACAACTGAAACACCAGCATGAAGTATCAGGTATACTTCAAAGACATCGGGTCTGAGAGGACAGCATGAGAGACTGGCTAAAAGGAAAGTAAGAGATGAGGAAGTTGTATAGATGAAAGTCTGAGGCTGAATGTGGAAATCTCGAGTCATCTGTGTTGACAAGATCTGGAACTGTGAGAGAGAAAGAGGACAATACTGAAAGAAATATAAAGAGAGTCATAATATTCTATAGCCTAGGCACTACCGTGTAGAAATCTAGGTAATGGCCAGCATGAGCTAACAGTAAATAACTTAAAACTCTTATTAGAATGCTATGAAAAAACAGGGCCATTTAAGCAGGCAACAACAGATTATAAAAAGCAAACACGAAAATGAGTTAACTCCATGAAGAAAATAAATATTAAACACCTTCCTTACAAAATAGCCTTTTCCTAGTGGTGTTATAAGGCCTAGAAAAATGAACCCCTGTAATCATAAGGAAGATTCCCATGCTACAGAAATACTTGGCCCTATTTTGGAAAATTCTAAAATAGCTTTAGGCCTAAGGCTTTTAAATATCCCTTTTCAATATCTCAGTTTTTATTTTTTACTTCTAATTCCAAAAGTTCCTGCTAAATTTAATGTTTATCTACATCAACACACATGAATCTGAAAAAGACACATCGAGAAGAAAAGCAAGTCACAGAAAAATTCATACAGTATGTGTCCATTTGTATAAAGTTTCAGGATGTATACAACTAGAAACATTTTGTTTAGGAATAAATTTGTTACGTGTTAAAAACCTATTTAAAAACAAATAAACAAAAAAAGCAAGGGGATGATTAATGCAAAATTCCAGAGAGTGGCCACCTGAGAGGGAAGGAAGGGAGGAGACGCAGAGGACTCTTAGAAGGAACTGACTATGCCCTACTTCTTAAGCTTGCAGCCGATGCAAGCCTTTATTCTTCCACTTTAAACTGTATATAGACATTATATACATTATTTTGCACGGATGAGATAGATCATCATAAAAAGTTTGAAGGTTATTTCAGGCACTGAAGAGCAGAAATGGTTTTTAAAAAGATCCTTTAATGAAGATCCTTTCAAAGGGTTTTCTGTACTATCAGTAACTGTGAGGCTCCGGCTTCCAAAACGGACCACCGAGGTTCCAGCGGCCATTTACCACAGAACCAGTAGGGGGAACCGCCTGCAGCAATTCCCATATCCTATTAATACATCGAACCGGTTTTGTGGTTTCCTTCTACATCTGTAGAAACAAAAGGTACTTTAAGATGTGAAAGCGCTATGTGGCTTCTGGGCCCGAGCAAGTCGTCTTTAACAAACGGACACGGCAAATAAACGCGCCCACCCCGACCCCCTTTCAAAGGTGGAGGTGGCGGTAGGGCGGGACGGGGAGGAGCTGGCCTCGGGTATCTCCGGCGCCGGTAATCCATCGGCCAAGCCTATCTTGCCTGGGAGGGTCCGTGTGAAACTGGAAGAAGCCGCAGCATCCGGCCGGCTCCCAAGCCCCGCGCCCGAGGGCGGGGGTCCTATGGCCGCCCCGCTGCCCTTCCCGAACTTCGCCCGCCCCGCAGGCCCGTCCTGCCCATCTCCCCTCCTCCCTGTCCGTTTGTCCCCTCTCTCACAGGAAACCGCATTCTCAGAACACAATAGACTTAAAACAGAACTTCATAGAAGCCATTTTCAAAATTAAAGGTAGAAAAGCGCTCCCCTTGCCGCCTACTCCCCAGACCGGCCCTTACCTCTTCATGTTTTCACAGGCCCCTTATCTCCAACTTGGTCAACAGGCCATGGACCTCAAGTCCCAGAACCCTTCGCGGCAGACTGGTATTGCATTGTGGTGGAGCGTGGGGCTCTGGGAGTTGTAGTAGCACAGAGATGTAGCCCACAAAGGAAAGATAAGTATTCAGTGACTGGTAATGTTGTAAATTGTCCGAATATGGTTCTTTAATTTTTCTTTCTTTTTAAATAATTCTTTATGAAATCATAACTATGTACATTAATGCATTTATGGGGTACAATGTGCTGATTTATACACAATGTGGACTGCTTACATCTAAGTGATTCACATAAGTCTCCTTGCTTACTTATTTGTTGTGGCAAAAACAGCCACACTGGGCTCGGCGCCTATAGCTCAACCGGCTGAGGCGCCAGCCACGTACACCTAAGGTGGCGGGTTCGAATCCCCAGCCCGGACCCGCCAAACGACAATGACGGCTGCAACCAAAAAAAAAATAGCCGGG